TATGCGTCACTAAAATAATACCATACAGAATCCAAACATGATTATAAGGTTGACTCATTGTATTCATCCACACTATAGCACTCTGCTGTCAATCCTCTGGGTCAGCCATTCAGTAAAATCTTATTCTGAATGCTGTACTGGAGTAAGCTTACACCATTGCATATTAGTTTTGATTTGTGTATTAGTTACATGTCTATGGCTGTGCTAAGACACTATGACCCAAGAAACTTGTATGAGAGTTTATTGGGGCTTACAGATTTAGAGGCTGAGTCCATGACCCTTATGATGGAGAGCATGGAAGTAGACCAGCGTGGAACTAGAGAAGTAGCTGAGAGTTTGCATGTTGAGATAACAACCATGGGGCAGAGAGAGCTACCTGGAAATGCTGTGGCCTTTGAAGCCTTAACGTCCACACCCAGTCAGTGACCACCACCTTCAACAAGACCACACCTCCTAATCCTTACCAAACAATCCTTACCAAACAGTTCTACCAACTGGGGACCAAGCTTTCAAATATATGAACCTATGGGGATCATTTTCATCACATTCTGAAATATTGACACAAATACACAGTATTATCTATCACATAGATGGTTAGAGTTAAGCACATTCTCATACCTTAGTTCTATAGGTCCTATTAGTTTCTCCACAGATATTGGCCCTCAGTCTTGACAGATAGGAATCTATGTGGCCGAAAATCTGAATGCAGAGCTTGTAACACTCACTGTTGGCAGAGGATTCTGGATTATACTCTGTCAAAGGGAAAAAGACAGTCTCATTAGCACATAGTTTTTTGATTCTTTTGTTGTTAAAGTCATCGTGAAAGGAGCAGAGACCTTCTGTTAAGTTTATGGTTTAAAGTTCATCTAGACAGATACAAATCAGCATCATCTCAGTGAAAGAAATTAATGGTCATTTCAAGTTGGAGTTATTGGCAATTATTTTGACTTACAACTTGATTTTTGCATGTCTCTATGTAGTCTGGATATTTAATTTGATATGTTGCCCTCTTCACTGTGTAGCATATTATCTGGGCTATGATTTAAATAACACATAGTCGCCAGGCATTGGTGGCACATGCCTTTATTCCTAGCACTCAGGAGGGAGAGGCAGGCAGATCTCTCTGAGTTCAAGGCCAGCCTGGTCTACAGAGTGAGTTCCGGGACAGCCTCCAAAACATACAGAGAAACCCTGTCTCAAAAAAAAACCAAGAAGAAAGAAAGGAAGGAAGGAAGGAAGGAAGGAAGGAAGGAAGGAAGGAAGGAAGGAAGGGAAAGAAAGAAAAGAAATCCTTGTTCATAAAGAAAAATAGAAAAGGATAGGGCTGGAGAGATGACTCAGCAATTGGGGCATGCTTCTCTCACCTAGGATCTGAGTTCAGATCCCAGCACCCACATCTATAGGCTCAAAACCACCGTGAGCCTAGCTCCAGTGAGTTTGGACACTCCTGGCCTCCTTGAATACCTGTGTACAGGTACACATAATTGAGAAATAAATCAATCTAAAAGTCTTTAAATAAATCAGAAGGATTTTTTTCCTAGTTTTTAAGTTAAGTTCTTAGCAATGCCATACATGTGTGTAATGCATTTTGGTTACTTTCTTACATCAAGCTCTCTTATCTGCCTCCTTCTCCCGTCCCACACACCACTGTCCCTTTCCCAGATTCATTGCTTTGGGCACAGTTGCATGGCTCATTTGGTTTAACCAGTGTTATAACCCCTGAATTGGGACAAAAGTAAACGACCCCAAACCACAGATCCTTGACTGCCCCCATCCCCAGTTATTCCCACTAACTTCCTAACCACAGACCATAGCTTACACCCTCAAATGCCTGCATTGTTCAGACAGGTAGCTGAGATGCTGCATGGGAGCCAGCACCAGGCTAGCTTGGTCTTCTTCATAAATGCTGCTTTAATGCCAAGTCACAGTTAGCTATTTCATTACCTGAGCTTTCACTGAAGCATTTTCCTGTTCTTACCTCCTGTAGAAATGTGTACATAAGGGTACCACAAAAAGACAAGCATAAAAACGTTCATGGCATTGGTAATCATGATAGCCAAGAAATGGAGTGAGTCTTAGCTGTGAGGAGAGTCTGCGTCTCTAGGTCCTAAGTATGAGTCACAAGGGTGTTCTCTGTATGAGGGGATGTCGTCTGATTTGTGATCTTTTTATGTCACTATTTCACTTGAATAAAATGTTCACTTTAGGGTTAGGCATATAGCTCAGTGGTAGAACACTTGCTCAGCATACATAAGGTCCTGGATTTGGTCCTCAGCTCTACAAAATAAGAGTTTGCTGAAGTAGCAACTGCTTGCCACTTCTCCAGATTCGAGTGACAACTGTGGTCTGCAGAAGGACTGGCAGGAAGTTGAAGCCTCAGCATCTAAAGTCTAAATTCTGTAGGACCCTGGGGCAAAGGAGAGGCCAGAAAACCCTAGGGAAAGAAGGTTGGCTGCAACCCCAGGGTACCCCAGGGGTGACTACCCATTACTAGGCCTCAGCATCAGAGGAGTGGAGCATCTGGGCCGGCTGGAGTTGGTAAGAGCATCAGGAGGAAGACCTGCACCCTCTGCATCTCCCCATGGGTGACTGCCCTTGGTGAGGCTTTCAGTGACTGCACATGAGCTCCAGGAGGTGACGGGTTGTTGCTAAGCACTCTGAAGAATGGGGAAAGCAGTGCACTCTCTCTGCTGGAATTTTCTGTTGCTAAAGGGCAGATCTGTAACCATACTTTACATAACATTATGATAAGTATCAGGTAGGTCCTGAGGTACAAACAGGAGAGGCAGCAAATTTGTAGGCCTGGGGGTGAAAGTGGTCTCTGCAGGAAGGCTTCTTACAGGTTCAATGAACTCCTAGTGGAAGAACTGGTCTTTTCAAGAGGAAAAAGCACACAGGGAAAGTATCTGCAAGGCAGAAGCCTTGTAGTGATACCTGCAGGCAAAATCTTGATTAAAAAGTCTAAGATATTTAATTCAGAGTCTAAAATGTATTTGCTGTGTTAGAGAAACATAAGTAAGAAAACAAGGAGCTCCACTCCAACTTTTCTGCTCTTGTTCACATGTTCTTTTTAGCCTTCTCTGTGCACACTCAGTCTCCGAGCCCCCTCAAAACAGTTTTCTAACCCTCTCCCATCTACCGAGCCACACACACCACTTGAGAACCTTATGCAAGATGAAGTTCTCAGTGTTCTTTCACGACCAACAGTTAGTTTTGGAGGGTTGCTGCCTTGCTTTTTAATGTCTATATAACATGTGGAATATTTTGTCTTTAATACTATTTTATTCCTCTGTAGCTTTTTAAAGATTTTATCAACAATGTTTCTATCTAGTTAATGAAACCCCACTCAGCCTGCCCTGCCTTCTAGCAAAGGAAACAATCTATCACATGGTCTAATAGGTCACCACATTTCCCTTCTGTGGAGCCAGTGAATCGGGAGCTCTGCTACAGCATATACACATGTGTATGTGCACAGATGAACTGGAACTCTTTACAGTTTGTAACAGAGCTGTTGTTGCTAAAGAACTAAATCCTTCTTACCATCGGGTATGGTTACCTTGCCCCTGCTATGTCAAAGTACAGGACAAAGAGTTTGAGGAAGGAAGCAGGCGTGGAAGTCAGGTTGGCCGAGGCACCATCAGCTGCTCACATTTTGTCTGCTCTGCAGTCAGAAAGCAGACAGAGAATAATGCTGGCGCTCAGCTCCAGTTCTCCGTTTTATTCTGGCCAGGATCCTCTCCCAAGGAATGTGGGGTAGATCTGCCCATCTTGATGAACCTAATGCTGAAATCTTCTGAACAGATGACATGCCCAAAGGTTTGTCAAGCTGACCACCACTACTGTCACACAGCTGGGATCCCTAGGCATGTAACATCCTTCTGAGTGGAGAAGTCATGAAAATATATAGCATAGAAACTATTTTTTCTACTCTAGAATTTTTGTCCCATAAACTAAGTACTAAATTGTTTCTCCAAGTAGTTTATATTTTAATCTATGAATATATTCACATGAGTGTATTTTATGTTATAGTGAATATTGCCAGTTTATTTATAAAATACCATTTTTTCTGACCTTAATTCCAATTGTTCATTTAAATTCAAAAGTTTATTGATTTTGAATTTATTTCAAGATGTCTTAGAGCAAAGGTGTAGTGGTTGTAAATAGTGTTTTTAAAGTTTCTAGACGGTATTTTAAGTTTCCGTTTGTAATTTGGGATTCAATTATAATTGCATTTTGAGATCCAAGCTTTCTTTTTCATTTATCATTATTTATTACACTGGGCGTGTGATGCTGGGCGTGTGATGCTGGGCGTGTGACTGACACTTTCATTTATCATTATTTATTACACTGGGCGTGTGATGCTGGGCGTGTGACTGACATCAAGGCACACATGTGGAACTCAGAGGACGCCTCTCAGGAGTGGCTTCTTGCCTTCCACATATATGTGCCTTATCTGGCTCAGGAACAAACCTGTCCCTACAGCCCAAGAGACTTGTCTCCTGAGTGCTGTGTGACTGTGCCTGATGCCAGCATCATCTGGGTGTCCCCGTGTACATCAAGGCACACATGTGGAACTCAGAGGACGCCTCTCAGGAGTGGCTTCTTGCCTTCCACGTGTATGTGCCTTATCTGGCTCAGGAACAAACCTGTCCCTACAGCCCGAGAGACTTGTCTCCTGAGTGCTGTGTGACTGTGCCGGATGCCAGCATCATCTGGGAAATGGGCTTCTAGAAACTCAGGTGTGGCAGAGGGCATGGCCGCTGATAGCTGATGAATTCCTCTTTGACATTCCTCTATCTTTAGAGGGAAGTAATCCATTTTCATTTGTTTTCTCAGGGGCTTGCTTTCTTAAAGGCACCTCCCATTATTTCTTTCATTTTTGCAATCATTCTACCAAGGTGGAAAACTACTAGCCACTTTTCAATCTTCCTTCACATTGCTGGTGAGAGTCACAAATATTTAAAAATTATTACAAGTTGTAGGCTTGTTTTAAAGCATACCAGTCCTACTCTTTGTAAACTTTTATAGGGGAGGAACTTAGGACATTTATTGAACAAAAGAGAAAAAAATAATGTGTTCTATCAAATAATTCCACAGAATAAATTTTGTATTTGGTAAATTCTTAAAACCTAGTTTTAAGAGTTTGGAAAACCAAGAAATGTCCAATGTTTACCTTAATATTTTTAACCCGAAAGGGAGAAAGAAAGGGAGATTCATTTTAGGAATTGGTGTCAGGCTCCATTGAAAGACCTTTGCTTGCCTTTAAAGAAATAAACTCATCCCTTTAAATTTAGCATTTTCTGAAAAGTTGAAGCACTCCTTTTTAAAACCTGTGTGCTGCAGCAGGGTGTTTATGCCTTGCTATGGTGGCCCATGGGGCACATGTCCCTGACACATGGCAGGAGCTGAGGCCCTTTACAAATTCTAGCTTAGCTTGGGAAGTAGGAACTAACCTGACACTGGAAGGCCAGTGTATTGTCACTGACCATAGAAGTGACCTGTTCATGCCCACAATGCTTAGACCCTCAGAGCCATTTGAGTATTTCAGGGTTGCAGTGTCCCCTGTTATTCTGGGTGTTTTTTCCCAGGCTAGACATTTAGAACAGATGCTTCTTAATCACATTACGTACCTGAGATTGTTTGCTTACTTGAGCATGGTTGACTTGACCTAATGTCAATTCATGTCAAATATCTTTGTTTCAAATGAGCAGTTTGCTAATTGTTTAGATAAGTTGAGGACATGGCATGTAGTTTTGTAGTTTATTTATTTATTCATTTATTTGTTTACTTAATCTTGAAGTAGGCCTAGCCATCCTCATTTTATGAAGCCTGAGTATTAGATAGGAATATGTCTTGACCCATTGCTCCTCACCTGAGAAACCCCTGCTTGCTTGCAGCATATCTGATCTATCTGATCTGTAGTCTCTTTGCCTTTACATAAAGTTTTCTTGTTGCTTTCACTCTTAGAGTGGATGGAGGTCTGTATAAAGGCGCAGTTTGGGTAACTCTTAGGACTCAGCCACATTAAAATAAGAGGGAAAAACCACAAAAATTACAACAAAATAGCCAAAGAAACACTAAGAATGTGTTGTGTAAGAATGCTTCTGTGTTGATATTCTTAAATTTATAGGACAGAAGTCATAAGACACCTTTTCATAGTGATGGAAAAAGGGCCCCCACCTCCTGTTCTTTTTGATAGATAATTGAAGTGTTATATTACAAATTATTTTTGTCCTGATGGAAGAGAAGTAATGGGGTGATTTCTTTCCAAAAGTTCTCAGGGATGCTCTGTTCATTACCGATTGATTAAATTTCACCCTGCTGAGACAGCAATCTTCTCTGTACAGACACCAGCCGAGCCTGGTAATAAATAAAATTCTAAAACAGAATGTTTCAATTAGTAAAATTCATACATTTAATGAGACATTCTTGAAAGAAAAAATATCACTGTGTCTTAGGAAATCATCTAAGCAAATGTTGATATATAACCTTGAGGAAAATGGTTTGCCAGATGACTGGCCTGGGTCTCAACTTACTCTCTGAAAACCACAGTGGTCACGGGGTATCCCCTTGCAATCCCTAGCCTGGGCCTTTTGTGTTGAGCACTAGAAAATGAATTAGAACTCTATTGAATTGCACCCACCCCTGAGGTCTGCTAAGCTTCAAAGTTACCCATTAGGAAACCACAACTGTGATTGTAGACGTGCATTCTTGTCTCTCCTGAAATAGATGGTGCCTATGTTTAAAAGGCTTAGAGAGATTTTATTTAGCATATGTCATTGGATCCTCTTTGAAAGGTAGAACTTAGCTAATTTCCTGTTTGCAGGTGTATAATTTGGTATCCCTGCTCATCTTGCTTATCTTGTATTTGTTGTCTCTAGGTACCGCATGTACAGGAAAAGCCAAACAACAGGCTTCCCTTCTCTGATTACAATTTTCTCAGCACCAAATTACTTAGATGTGTACAATAACAAAGGTGAGTGTGAATACTTGATGAAATCTTAAGTAGTGTGTGTGTGTTCATGCTTACACTAATTTTGACTTGACTGTTAACATTTTAAGCCATTCTTTTTGCTAATCCCTTACATACTTAAAGAAAGAAAGGAATTCAGAGGTAGAATCTACGCTATTAAATTAAGAAAATTAAGCTGTTTTCTAGACTATGTCTAATGTATACTAGAGGTGCTATCTGCTCTCTAGTAGATACAGACTTTAAAAACAAAACAACAATAATTGGAGGTAACCAAAACTCATGCTCCCTAAAAAGGCTACAAGTATATTCTGACCCTGTAATTATGTGTGTTCAGCAAAGATATGTGTAGCAAAAGAGAAGTCACAGCTTGAAATTCCAATTTATTGAGCCCTTGCCATGAGTTACTTTCTGAGCTGAGCAAGTACAGGTTCAATTCTTTAAAAAGACTATTATGCTTCAAGGTAAATCCTAGCTGGCTCTCCCTGTTTCTATATGCAAAGCAAGTGCCTATAGCCAGTTGCCTCTCACAGTCACTCAACCAGGACGTCATGAATTGGGATGGAACCCACAGTTCTGAGCTTTCGTTCTGAAATTCCCTACCTGCTTACTCAACCAGGACGTCATGAATTGGGATGGAACCCACAGTTCTGAGCTTTTGTTCTGAAATTCCCTGAGCAAACACAGAAGCCAGAGGGCATTAGATGTTTGCCTGTGAGGGAAGGAGAGGTGAAGAGACCAGGCTTACCTTCCTCCAGAAAGTTGTGTCCTGATTTAAAAATGACTTAGTGTCCTAGGTGCATCAAAGAAGGGATTAAGATGTGGAGAAAGGATTAGTTAGTAGCCATTGGTTAGGGTACTCTGGAGGGAGTGTCTCCTTAGCAAAAGAGACATCAGTCAAGCAATGCCTGAGGTGAAGTGTCCCCTGGCAGAGCAGAGAAGCAGCAGTCCTGTTTCTGAGCATGTGTGAAACTGGAATTAGAGTAGTACCTGTCTTCAGTCTGCGTGATAGCTATCCTCTTACAGAAGGTGGCATCCAGGCCTGGACCCTGATGACCCCCAGAAGCTAGGCGAGGCCACCTTTCTTCAATGGGATAACTGAACAAATAATACTGAAAAGTGGAGAAAGGAGATTTATTTCAGTGTGCCCATACTGGGAACAGAGACAGAGAAGTCTAGTGCATCTTTAGGGTCCTGATGTGAAATTTAGGTTTACATAGAGAGCAAAGTGGAGCCATCCTGGTCAAGTGTGGAACAGGTCATCATTGCCATCGGGCTATGGTTTCTCTTACACAGTGGTATGACAATTGTTAGCACTAAGTGAATTCCCTTGCCAGGATGTGAGTTCACCTTCTGACTGGCACCAGAGTTTAGCTTTTCTTCTTCTCCCAGCATTGGAGATCCCTGGGGAAAATCCAATTCTTGGGGTCTGTTGTTTCAACATTGTAATAGCCCAAGTGTGGGGCATAAGTATGTCTTTGGAATGTTTGTCTTCCAGCCACGATAGTTAAACTTCTTCCCTGAGCCTGGTGTCCAGTACACCTGATAGAGGCCTTGAACTCTGTTAGTCCCAGGTGCTTCTTAATTATTTGATAGCTTGTTGGGTTTGTTGGCCTTATAAACTCCACTTTTTCTCCATACTTTCTAATGCTAACAGGAATCCTGCTCCAAAAGGCAAAGTGCCCTGTCTTCCTACTGCCTCCCTTTCATCCTGCCCCTTACTCCTCTCTCTGCATGCCAGTTTCACCTGCAGTGTGTGGATACTGCCCCCAGACCTTTCTCTCAGACCAGAGAGTGGGGAAAGCTAAATGGAGTGTGCTATAGCTGTGTGACTTTTGCCAAGGCCACACTGATTATCACAGGCCTTACGTGAAGCTAAGGAGTGCAGGTATCCATGGACATAGTACAGCCATGGTTCCCAGCAAAGATGTGCTGTCCTTAGACAGACAGGCAACAATTTCAAATATAATAGGGTGTGTTCTCTGCATGCTGTAAACTCTGAGGCAGTCTGTAAAGCAGGATGCTGGGGATTCACTAAAAGTGTCAACTTACGGGATGCACAGGAAATGCACTTAGCAAGAAGGAATTTTCTGAATGGTTAGGGGAAGTCTCATTTAAAATTTTGATCCAGACATAAAAGAATGCTCAATTTTTATAAGAAAGATATAAAAAGTCAAGGCCAGTGATTTTTTTTAAAGCAACAAACTTATTTTGAATTAAACTATTAAAAGATAATTATTTGGATTAGCTAGATGAAGGTTTTCAATGTTTCTCTGGGTATGGACATTGGCCAGAGCGTGTCCCACCATGCTCCGGTAATCTACCTTAATTATATAAAGTATAAATATTGTGCTAGAGCGTTTCAAAGGATTTTCTATTAACCTAAGGAACAGTGTGATAGCATATGCTTATGAGTAATATCTGCACTTGGAAAGTGGCAATATTATGATTAAGAGTGTAAGGGCATCAAGAGCTAGCAATTTCTACACTAACATGGGCCAAATGATGTCCTTTCAAACAAAACAAGCAAACAGAAAGCAACAAGGAAAACATTGCCTTCCCAAAACATGTTCATGACAGGTAGTGGTTGTCAAATAGCACAGACTATTCTTAGGCCCTTTATAACAGTGAAATAAAACCCAAACCATTAAAAATGAAGGCAATTGGGATATCATTCTATAATGCCCTTAGACACTTCTCATTCTTCTGTGTAGCACTATTTCTTGGGGGCAGAAAGCCCCTTCTCCTGTACAGGGTATGTTGCTTCTTTGTGCCTGGTTCCAACATGACATGCTAGGGACTTGATCACAGAGGAAGGCGGGGCTTCACTGTCTTTGAGATTTGTGTGCATCTTTAGCTCTTATCTCTTGCTTGGATTTAGTCACAGTCCTTAGGAAAAGGATAAAACTGTTTGCAACTGGGGAACCTTTTCATAAGGCAGAAATTCTCTCAAGAGAAAAGAGAGACTGAAAGAAAAAAGAAAGGTGTATTCTTCGGTTGGAACATAATGTCAAAAGACTTTTGTGTCAAATTTCTGAAGCACTTTAAAGCTATTATGCTAACAGCTTGTACAGTATATGGGAGTGGGAGTCAATTATTCACTGCTAACAGCGAGGATTGCCTGATTTGAATAAAATCAATGTTAGCTAGAATTTTTAAAACGCCATGCAACAAAATTGAGTTGCAAGACTCTCCACAGCATAGTCGATGGAAGAATAACAATGAGGGTTCTATGAGTTAAGCCTTGATGGTTAGAGATGATGACCACAAAGAACATTGGTCACACTATAGTTAGTGATGTTCCTGCAAAATAAGGCAGAAGTGACCCTCTCAGGCCAAGTGGAAATATGAGAATGATGGGTTTATCGTGCAACTTTAAAGCCGGTGCTATGCTAGCTGTGGTCAGACATGCATATAGCATGAAGTCATTCCCATTAGTAGTTTGTTCTTGCCTGTGGTTCAAGTCGGTGAGACTGAACATTTCACCTCTGTTGTCCCCTCATTAACTCAGCTAGTGCCTGTCCTTTCCTGTTGGCCTTAGCAGTTACTTTCTCACCCATCCCCCTGCATCTGTTCAACTCCCACTCTGGCAGCTCTTGAGAGATTGATGCCTGGGCAAACGATGGAAGCTTAGAGCACAGTTAGCCCATTGCATAACCTGCTCATTTACATGTACTGGGTATGCAGTGACAGCTCTGTAGAGTGAAGGAAAAAATGATCTGTTGTAATTAATGAATGGAATTGCTTTGGGATTACTTGCTGGGTAACATGAAAAGTCCATCATCTTTTCATATTTTCTGCTATTGGTGGCCACATGTTAGCGCATGGCTTCTCAGATGCGGCCAAGAAAATAATCCTCGTCAGCTGTTCATTTACAGTTTCACCACATATTTTTTTTTAGCCTGTGTGAATTATCTCCCTCCATCTAAATAACATGTAAAAGCAAAGTTTATCATTTTTTCAACTTATTGCCTTCAACAAAGTTCAGCTTTGCATCTAACCGCGTATCTCTTCCCATCTAAAATAATTTGCTTACACCCCTATCTATTTAAATAGATTGGATGCACCCATAAGAATACAATGTGTGTTTCATGAAAATTTCTCTCTTTGAATATGTGTAATTTCAATAATAATCTCTTATGTATAATACATGTTTTCCCAATTAGCTCTCATGTATTTCAGTTATGTGCCAGTGAGATAAATATTGTGAATCACGGAGTTTGTAATGTACATTGTACAACCACCTTGTATACCTTTGTTTCAGTCATGTTTCCTATCACTGTGATAAAAACATCCTGACAAAAACACCTGACAGGAGAAAGAGTCAATCTTGGCTCACAGTTCAAAGTTACCGTCTAGCCTAGTCAGGGAGCAACAGTGGTAGGAGCTGAAGGCAGCCACTGCCATTGCATCAGCAGTGAAGAAACAGAGCTTAATGGGCGTTTGCACTCAGCTCTCTTTACTCTTTATACAGCCCAGAATCCACAGCCAAGGGAATGATACACTGCCCAGCGGCAGAATGAGCAGGTCCTCCCATCTCAGTTAACCTACTCAGTATCATCACCGTACTGGCCCAGAGAGAGACATCCCTACTGATAGCATTCCTTTTACTCGTTCAAGACCTTTGCTGACTGAGTACTTGGCATGTTTAACTGTTTTATGTGGCTCTGTAGCCTAAGGGAAAAGTTATTTTCTATTTATCCAAATATACCAAACAGGAAAACTGCAATCCTGACAGTCTTTTTTTAAAAAATAAGTGGCCTGGGCTGGAGAAATAGCTCAGCCATTCAAGGCTAGGCTCACAACCAAAAATTAAAAAAAAAAAAAGTGGCTACCTGTAAAAATAACCAACTACATCTAATTACCAATAGCACTGCACAAGCTTATATTAGTAATTTACTAGTGTATTTTACTACTACAGTATTTTACCACACATAATGTACCATGCTGCAAGATATCTGCGCTATGTGTTAAACACGGTCTTTGCCCTATTATGCCTTATTCTC